GTACCCCTCCAACTCCTTAATAACTAAGCCTTGAAGACAAGATCCAGATCCATTTTTACACATTTCAAGTGTTTTAAAAGTGCTATGGTGTCAACCATATTTATCAAATGTGTGACGACATATTCGAGCACTTTGTGTTTTAAAAACACACACTTGCAAAAGTCGAGATTTGCAGTGAACTTACTGAACATGTTTATCTTTTAGGTAATAATAATAACAATAATAGTAAGTAATTATTATAAATCCATATAGTTAATTTTATAATAATTACTTACTAGAATAAATTATTATGATACCTACCTATTATCTAATTACAAGATTTCTTGCGAGATCAGGATAATGTATTCGTGTCCATTCTGAGCACCCGGAAACTTATTTTATTCTTTGAAACATTTACTCTGTGGCGGCAATCAAACATTGTCAAATGTAGTGCGTGTGGCGCAGCGGCGACGATTGTATGCGATATCAATAGTAGCCGCCGGCACGTGTATCTTGACCTTGTACTTTTAAATAGCTGCACAATTTCTTTGACAGGTCAGTATCCGACCTTTGATGACGCCAACAACAAGACGCCGCGCACCATCAAAGTGCCGATGGTCAAAACTAGGGATGCACTCTTTTTTCTTTTAATTGATATTTTCATTCATTCATATTTATGGTATTGTTCGTAATGCGCATAAGTCCAATTTTCCAATTTTTTTTTCATTATATTTTTTGCGTCTCATAGAGTCGCTAAGCGTATACCCGAACTCCTATACTCCCTGAAACGACACTTAGTCCTAACTGCAAGACGCAAGAGTCTCGCAAGCTAAGTCTTGTTCTTGCGCAAATCTTGCACGGTCAGTCTTGGTCTTGGTCTTGTTAAAAATAGGCGGTCTTGTTCTTGGTCTTGGTCTTGCAAAAATGCAAGAACAAGATCAAGACTGCAAGACCAAGACCGATTTTGGGCAACACTAATGATCTGAGATGTATCTCTATGTATGTAAAACAGTTTCGCCTTTAGCATGTTTTTAATAGTTTTCTTTCTCCGCTAGGAATAACATTATTCTGTGCTTTTCTTTCTTTCTTTATAGAGTGTAAATAATTGTTAAACAATAAAAATGTCTTGTAAAACACTTAAAAGTGGCAGATGTAAGTATTTTATGTGAAAAAATAATAGCGGCCAACACGTCAATAATCAAAAATACTGAATGGGTCTGACAAACGATTTTTACTTTGCATGTCAAATAAATCTACAAAATAATACGAAATAAACTGTGTTTTACTTTTTTCATATTTTAAAAATTTGCTGAGATATTAACGATCAAGGTGCGTGTTTCCGAAACAAGATTTTTAAAAACGCAGGTGGGCGTTCACTATTCGATGACGTCACACTCCCGCTCATACAACAACCGCGTTCTTGTCTGCACACCGCTGTGCAGTAAAAATCAGAATTTTAAAGTTCTCTGTAGTAAAAATGGAAAAAAAATACCGTATTGTGCCTGTACAACAAACAGGTACAGTTAACTTAACAGTCAAAACACCTGATAAACTCTTTTTTTATGTGCCTGAGGACCCAAAAATGAGGAAAAAGTGGATGTCAGCCGTAAAAAGAATCGATTCAATAGGCCCTAAAACTAAAGCGCACTGCTGTAAAGACCATTTCGAAGAAAGTGTTTTTCTAAGTAATAAGCTTATCGTTCTTCTCTACCTATCCTTGCCCTACTAAGCATACCTACTTGTCTACTTTGATTGTTTAGATAGATAGGTATCTTGCCAATGTTGCCAGCTACCTAGCACCTAGTAGCAGAGCAGTGCAGTGCTCCTCAACCGACTGTATTGGCGGGCCGCAAAATACACCTATGGCAAAATATACAAAATAGACATAAATATATATTTTCTCCCTACTACAAAATCAAACTCGCGGCCCGATGTCAGAAGTATCAAACTCGCGATCCGTATTTATCCTTAGTTTTCGTTGTATTTTTTTAACGATAGCAACGTACATACATTAAACACGGTTTTTATTTAGGTTTTCGAAACGTACGTTTTTAACGTACTATTAATTATTATTTTTAAAGTACTATTAATTTTAATCTACTCACTTTGAATATATCCAAAACTAAATATATTTTAAAACAAAAAAAAAATTAAAATTCACGAATGCTCTGTCTTCCAAAGCTCTAGTTGTAACTGCTCTCAAATAAATAAAGTCTCAAATATAAAGTATCTAGTAGTAATACATGGTTGACCAAAGACTGTCTCGGTATTCACACCTAGAATTAATGGCAACTCGGCTCAGGAAACTTATTTGGATATTTAAGTCACTACGATATGTCTCCACGAAGTCCTTACTTAATAAAATATACATAGCTCTGGTTCAGTCAACGGTAGGCTACTGTATTCCTATTAGGGTGGTGCAGCAAAAACCAGGTTTCTTGAGCTTGAAAGAGCTCAACGGTGCTTAATTAAAGTTATGTTCTTAAAGCCCTACAGATTCTATACAACTGAACTCTATGAATTGACTAATTTACTTTCGGTAAGAAAACTTTACATTTTAGCAACCGTTTTAAAACTTCATAGTTCCCTAAAATACCAACCGTCATCAACGACTAGACGTAGAAAATATACAGTACCCTACGAAGATTCATTTAAGGCTAAGTTTGCATCAAGACAGTATACAAGACTTTCAATTTACTTATATAATAAAATAAACCAAAAAATCAATATTTACCCTATGAACTACCATGACTGTAAAAGAACCGTAGCAGACTGGTTAAGAAAACTTACTTATGAAGAAACTGAATCCCTTCTAGAAAACAGTGCCTTATAAATTTTAACAATTACAGACTTCTCACAGTCATCCATACACACACACACACACACACGCACGCACGCACGCACGCACGCACTCACGCACGCACACACGCACGCACGCACGCACGCTTGCACGCACGCACGCACGCACGCACGCACGCACGAATGCACGCACGCACGCACGCACGCACGCACGCACGCACGCACGCACACACACACACACACACACACACACACACACTCGCTCACTCACTCGCTCACTCACACACACACAAACATTCTTGCACACAATCACACAAATATTATTAATTATACCTTACTGCATGTTTTAAATTGTGTAGATTTTTTTTTATTTAATTCGAATTTAATGTAGTAATATAATTGTACTACGGAAGAGCGGGTCCCTCTACTACAGGTATCTATTTACTTAAAAGAGAGTACCCAACAATATTGTAACAACTTACTACTTCTTTTAAAGCAATAAAGTATTATTATTATTATTAGAACGGCTTAACCGATTTTGATAAAATATGTCTATGAACTACAGTTAAAAAACAACATCAAATACAAAATAAAAAATAACACGGTTCACCCATTTATGATATACAGTACTACCGACACACAGACAGACAGACCAGGGGTGTCACTTCCACTATGGAAGGTATGGAGCACTCCATACCTCAAGTTTTTCAAGGTATGGAATTCCATAGCTGAAATTAGGAAATAAATCGCATATTACTACAAACCCCATATAAATAAATCGCAAGCCCTTAAACCTCAATACCCCACATCTTATAGTTCAATAAATAAGTTGAGTATATACACTGCAAACTCTTAAACCTTAATACCCCACGAGTAATGCGAACAAATTTGAAAATCGCGCCACCATTTTCCATACCTCAGATTTTTACAAAGTGACACGCCTGAGACAGACACACATAGCGGTCAAACTCTCCGCTAGGAGTAAAGTATTCTGTGGGTCAAACTTATAACACAAGTTAATCAGCACTGATTTGGCTTAGCTTTCCATAGACTCCCGTCGAGTTGGGGGTTGATACGTATTTTTACAGAAAAATTACACTATTATAAGCAAAATGGTTGAACTGCCGTCTTATTACTATCATATGGCCGAATAGACCTACGAAGTACCATGTGCTCTTGTGATATGGTATAAGGTTTATTTTTGTTTGAAACTGTTCAAAACCGTTCATGCATAAAAAAAGTTCGCTAACAAATCTTCTTCTCTTCTTCTTCTAAAAGTCTTTTGTCAATCCGCCGCCGTATAGCGTCGGCGTTTTTTTCCTTTTGAAAACACTTGTTTTGCTATTCTTACTAATTAGACGTTTTCAGATCGACTTTACTTTTACATTTGTATAACATTAAATAATATTTAACATTTGTAAATATCAATGAATCATAAACCTTATTTTTTCCCAAATTAAGGTTCTTGATTGTTTGACATTTACAAATGTTATAATTAGGTGAATATTAACCAAGGTTTTCCAGGGTGATTTAGCTGTACTTACTTATATAAATGATTTTTTTTATAAAACAAAAAATAGTACAAAAGGTTTGTAATCTCTCCATAAAAAAGTCACTTACTCTCAATTTCAAAGAAAACACTTAGAAAAACACGTAGGTACCCACTAAAAACAAGTATCCTTCCGTTTGTAACTGATGTTTGATCTCAACTAAACTTAATTAGGTCTAAACAAGTGAAAAAACCATAAAAAAGAAAATTATTTTTACACATGGCTGATGGCACAATAGGCGTGTCATCAACTTCTGTGGCGCTTGTCACGCCAGGCGTGTCACCAAATATCTGTTCGCCGCCACAACTAAAAGTTATCGAAAATCGGTGCCGCAACGAATCGGTCTGACCGTGTCGCGCATTACGAGTATTTTGGTTCCGTATCTGGCCGGCGTACTTGCAAGCAAATACCTGGTACCAAAACCAGGTTGCGTACTAAATACGCACCTTCCCTACACCAGCGAACATATCAGGAGGCTGACGGGGACGCGGTATTAAGGTTTTCTTCCTGGGCTTTTTAGTTGCAACCTATTTAAATAAATTTTCATTGGAGAACATCCGAACATCGTTTAAAAAATATGAAGTGTCAGTATTGTCATTTTACATTTCTCTTTAAATTTCATGTAGGTTATGTATACATGTATGTATTTATTTAAAATAATATAGCCTTACAATGGGTCGCATGACTGGTATTAAATGGGAAAAGTCCTTGCTATGCCGACCAATTCACAATATAATTTCATCCGATTTTCCAAAATATGTTCCTCAGCCTTGGAAATTTACCGTATGTATTTGCGTAAAGTAAAATAATTCACACTTATTCTTAGTTAGCAAGCTACTAGTATAGTAATCTGTGGTCTTAGTGTGTCGTTTTGTAGGGGAAAAATTAAATATATGTTTTTACAAAACCCTTAAATTAATCAAAATATTTCCATAAACCTATTAACACATTCTTGCCATATATATTTCTTCATGCCTTCACTTTAAGAAGTATCTATGTACTTTTCAAAGACTTTCTTTACTGCTTCTTCGGAATAAAATTTTTTGCCTATTATAAAAAAGTTATCTATTGAAGAGAGGTCTAAAGAATAAAATGAATGAGAAGGGGTCTCTAGCTTTAGCTTTAACCCTAATAGAACCCTACCCCTATTTTACATCGACTTTTCCTGCCCAGGGTGACCGAGCACCCTGTTATGTAATGAGACATATTTTCGAGAATTATAATAAAAAATGCAGTTTTTCATTAATAAATGTATTTATTGGTTCCTTTAGAAACGTATTTAAAAGAAATATGGTAATAGTAAATGCTTTTTGCTTCCCTCACATAGGCATATTACACTTGATGCGAAAGGTCTTACTTTTTTTTGGATAAGTTCAGAATCTTCAACATCCTTTGTTAATGACACTAGGAGCTGGTCCACCACGCTCAATGGGCGTTTTGAGTAAGCCGTTTAACAATTGGCGGATATTATAGGTCAAAGTAGGCCAATATTTTCTTGTGGCGCTGTTGTATTTTTGACGTTGTAATGTGATTTCAGCATAAGTGAAAGACACGATATATCATAGTATACGTATCTTCATTAAAAACAAAGACCAAGCCTCTAAGCATATAGAAATTTGTTTGGCAGATGCATTATTATTTCGCCTTGTAGTACGTCCCATTTTTGCGAGGCTTCCGCGCTCCATCTGTATCTGTTTGTATCATACATTCTTGTGGGTACTGGGTACTTTCAACATTTGAAGGATATTCGTCCTCGCTTTTAAACTAGCTCAAGTATGATGTTCTTCTGAATCTGACGAAGATTCTTTGTGGTGAAAGTCTTCAAAGATTTCATAATCGTCATCTGAATCACACTCGAAACAGCTCAATGCTCGTATTCGTCATCTCTCTTCTAGAACTCTATCTACTTAGAACCTTCAAAAGAAATGCACTTCTAAACACAAAAACACAGACATTACCTACAACATTTTTAGTTAAAAATAAGAAATTAATTTTATTTAATTATTTGCGTGTTTTACTACCCATGGGTGCTACAGCACCCTGCATTAATTATTTACATTACTTACCAGTATGGAAGTCAATCTTCAACTAGCACAAAACGGTGGACACGGATTGACAGGAAATTAGAAAAAATAACGAAGCTGTTTTGCTACTCGTTTAAAAATACTATCTACCAAAGTTACTACAGAGTGATACAGCACCTTGGGTAGGGTTCTAGGGTTTAAATTGGCAGACAATTTTGCAAACGCCTGTTGTACAGGATATGGTCAGACGTTGGCATGGAGCAATAACGTAGAGTCAGCCCCGGATCAACGATTTTTTTTGAACCGGGGCAAAAACTTGCACTCTATTACCTATTAGCTAATAACTTTTTCATTTGTGACGTATATAAAAAATATAACCAGGAAAGAATACATATAACCAGGAAAGACAACAGACAATCAAGACGACGTTTAGGAACGTTAGGTCTCAGTATTTTTCTCTCTCTAATCTTGCTACAGCTTTACACGACGGCTTTCTTTCCTGCGAAAGAATCTATTTGCTTATCAAAGTCTGTCTCAAAGGCAGTTCTATTTTCAATGGCTAGGATCACAGCCCAGACAGATGTTCCTGACTCATTGTTGAACGCAGATAGGTTTTAATTATTTTCAGTTTGCTGAAGCTTCGCTCACATCTTGCAGAATGTCGTAGGTAATGTGCAGTATATTCTTAAATAATTCATTAATTTTATAATGAACTAAGGATAATAAATTATTTAAAAATATTTTTTAAATAATTTTTTAGCGTTAATTATTTATGGAATTAATAAGTCTAGTAAATTAAAATTTCCGCCATTAGATGTTGCCAACAATCTACTGCGCTGTAGCTGTTGGCAAAATGAATGCTGAATTAACCTTCAGGATGTGTAAAAAGGCGTTTTAAAATCAAGTGATTAATTGATAGAACGTACGCTGTTTTTTTAAACCTTATTATATATATTATAATTATGGCGCCCCCTGAAACTGCCGCCCGGGGCGGGCGCCCCGGTTTGCCTACCCCCAACCTCTCCCCCCCCTAGATCCAGGGCTGCGTAGAGCAGTTCACCAAGCTGTGATGTTTGAGTAATACCTTCTCTACCATCAATTGTCATTCTTAACTATAACATAAACAAGAGTGCAGAACGTGAACCGCCAAACTGTCCCCATAAGCTTCTTCTAGCTATACTTCGTTTTGATTACTGTTTGGCTTGGGCACCTAGATCTAACTACTGATGAACGCTTGCAATTGTCGTGTAAGATCAACTTCTCATCGATGGTAACAATGTGACTCAAAATTACCTCTTCTATGCCGATTCAATATGATACAGCCTTGAACGCGGGGCTCTCACTGTGCCTCACGTAAAGTACTCATTTGTCAAGCTTCTTTATTTTACTGACTGGCCGCAAATGATCTAATACTTAGCCTAATACTTCTATGATCTAATACTATTTCGACAGTCCATGCTACCTCGCCGTTAGTTTAAGACGGATCCCTTTTCACTATCACCTTCATTTAATCTTTATCAACTTTGTATTCTGGGCGGCCACCAGGTTCATTTGAGGTTAAAATTTCTCGATAATGAACTAACGGTCATAGAATAAATAATAGTACGAACGAACGGTGGATTCGTTTATAGTGTAGCCGATATCGACTACCGTTTGAGACTCATTGTTTCCACACCTGAATTCATTCACTAATTGCACGCTTTTTTAACATTAATTATTAATTTTATACGTGGTAGAGCCATGCTGCAGCTATATTGGCAGTATAGTTGTAGCACGAATGGGTCGGCTCGAATGAGGAAGGACCACGCTCTCAAAAAATACCAGCATAAAAAGCAGCTTAACACTGCTGTGTTTCGTATGCTGAGTGTAGAGAACCGGAGACCCTTTTTACTGGAAAAGAGGCATTCCATCTTAGTCCTCACGGGTGAGAACGCATCTGCATTTTGATTTTTTATTGAATATAGATGTAGATGTCTATGGGTCACAGCAACAACTTACCATCAGGTGGACTATGTGCTCGTTTGTCACCCTATCCTATAAAAATAAATGAAGTCCTAACATATGTAATAGGCGTTTTTATATAATATAATTATATATTTAATCATTCAAAGTATGTACATACCATTGTTATCTATGCACTTTCTTCATAGTTTTTTCATTGATTCTTTTGCTAAAAAAATTGTGGGAGCGACAATCAATAAAACCTTAGGTGTTTTAATGACTCATTGGATTTAATTTTTTTCCTTGCAAGGAATTGTCCGGTAAAAGTAGTAACATGTTGGAGCAAGGTTCGGAGAGTATCGTGAGTGTCGGAGACATTCCGATCGCAGCTCCTCTAATTTAGCAACCGTCTGTTGTACAGTGTGTGGTCTAGCATTGTCTTGAAGTAGCAGTTTGCTAGAACAATTGACCAGTGTCGGTTGTGTTTAAGGGCTAGCTTTTTCATTATTGTTTGCAATAGCTGACAATACAGATCTGCCGTAATCGTTTGGCTACATCTTAGGAATCTAGACTAATCCACCAGACACTTACCAGTATCTTCCTCTGAGCCAGCTTTCGCTTGGGGTAGGATTTAGGTAGGATTTTTATAGGATAGGGTGACAAACGAGCGCACAGTCCACCTGATGGTAAGTGGTTGCTGTGGCTCATATACATCTACATTTATCCTCGTTTGCGATTCAAAATGCAGATGCGTTTTCACCCGTGAGGTCTAAGACGGAATGCCTCTTTTCCAGTAAAAAGGGTCTCCGGTTCTCTACACTCACCATACGAAACACAGTAGTGTTAAGCTGCTATTTGACGCTGGTATTCTGTGAGAGCGTGGTCCTTCCCCGGTCGAGCCGACCCATACGTGCTACAACTATACTACTAATATAGCTGCAGCATGACTCTACCACGTACATTGTGATGAAGGTTTCCAATTAACATACAGGATCAATTTTCCATCACAATTAACGATACGATTTAAAATCTCCTCGTTATTGTGTCAGTTGTGTAATGTAACGCAGCACTGGACGTGTGTTTGTTGGTGTGCTTTTTTCACTTTTCCAATTTGTTTTAAGTGAATTAAAAATGTTTTATCACTCACACCAAAGCCTGCCGCTAACTCTGACGTGGTTTGCGACGGATCCGCTTCTACGAGCAATTTTCATTCTTCATTGTCAACTAGGGTCTCCGGCCATCCACGGGGTTTGTTCTGTAGGCTAAAATTTCTAGAACGAAAAGGTTGAAACCGAAAAACGTACCGTTTTCTTTTACAGTAGCTTCCCCACACACGTAATTAATTCTTCGAGCTGTTTGTGTAGTGTGTACATGCGTGTAATATATTATCTATATTATGTCGCCAACCAGAACCAGAATACTTATCTACATAAGTAGTACCTACCACAGAATAGATAATAATAGTTGTAATAGTACCTAGAAAGCTTATTTTTTTAATTTCTACATACGTCATAATAATATCGTACATTTAGTAGATAGAGCATAGCATATTAAATTTATCTTTTGTTTATAAAATAATATTACATACATTTAAACGTAGTTTAAAATTTTATAAGTATTCGTTTTATACTTAAGTTTTAAATACCACATGTATTAAGTTATCTTTAAACCTGCAGGAAGGCCCATCAAGAATAGAATGGCTACTATCTTACGAATATCAAAGAATGTGGCTCGATGAACGAGAAGCTTGGAAAAAACGTATGTATCCAGAAAATACAACAGTAAATATAGATGTTGTAAAACGTTATGTTCTTTCTTTTAAAAACAATCATCAGCCACCGAAGGAAACGAAAAAGAAACCGTTTAAGATAAAGAGGTACAAACAATTTAAATCATTAAATAATTCGCTCTAAGTTTGTCATATAATATTGTATACTTACTTGCTGTATATATTTGTTTTAGATTCGAAGGGATAGGAAGCAAAACTATTACCAAGCGTACATTGACAGACAACACAACGACAAAAACATGAAAATAAATTAAAAGTTGCACAATAATAACCTACCTATATGTATTAACATTGATTATTTTATATTTTTCATATATATATATATCAATAGTAATAGAAGAAGAATTGTAACGTTGTAACTTTAGTCGCATGTTTGGGTTGTCTCCGGTTCCATCTTTCTCGTTTCTAAACCATACGAAGGGAAATTAAAATGTACGAGGAAAGAAAGTAAGGCAGTTTAATAAAATTCATATAGCAATTTTTCGCTTTTCAATATTTTGCTCTTGACTCACTTCTTGGCTATTTGTGATCAAAAGAGGAACGTATTTTTTTATTTTTGATAACATAATAATCAGAATCCAGATAGTACCCAGGTAAAGTACTTATCTGGAGCTCCGCTGCGCTGCTTCCCACACATACACTTTTTTTTATAGGAGAGGGGGCAAACGAGCATGCGGCTCACCTGATGGTAAGTGACTACCGCCGCCCATGAACAGCTGCAACACCAGGGAAGGAATCGCAGATGCGTTGCCGGCCTTTTTTTAAAAATGAGTACGCTCTTTTCTTGAAGGTCCCTAAGTCGTATCGGTCCGGAAAAATCGCTGATGGTAATCGATTCCACAAGGAAGTCGTGCGAGGAAGAAAACATCTTCTAAATCGCACAGTGGTGGACCGCCGTGTCGAGTGTGGATGGTATCGGGAGTTCTGTCGCGATGAAATTTGGCGGCTGGGATTAATCCGAACAATTCCTCAGAGCACTCCCCATGGTAGATGCGAAAGAAAATGCAAAGGGATACAACATCTCTTCGGCAGTGCCAATGAATGGAGCCGATCGGAAAGGACTCGGTCGTCGACGATTCGAGCCGCAGAGCGGATGCGGTCAAGTGGAAGGAGCTGGCACTGGGGAGCCCCTGCCCAGAGATGGGAACAGAATTCCATGTGAGGCCACCTGCGCCTTGTATAGTTGCAGGCGGTGTGCCGGCATGAAATACTGTCCCGCTCTGCTGAGCACGCCAAGCTTTTTAGAGGCTAATTTGACCTTCTCTTCCAAGTGACCACGAAACTGCACGTCACTCGATATGTCGACTCCGAGGATTCCGATACTGGCTGAGGCAAGGGGAGTGCCTTGAAACTGAGAAGATACGACAAAGGGGTTCTTTTTAGCGGTAAACGCGCAAATTGTGTCTTCTGAGGATTAAACTGGAATAGATTTAGTCGCCCCCAATCCGAGACTTTGTTCAGCAAAGACTCGACTTCAGACACAAGTTTGTTCCGGTACTCGGCGACGTTTTCCCGAGAAATATTGGCACGGCCGGTGTATAGAGCATCACCAGTGCTGTCATCCGCATAGCAATGAATGTTACCAGTTAGCAACATATCATTGATATGCAGAAGAAACAGCGTTGGTGATAGCACACAGTCTTGTGGAACACCAGCGTTAATAGGCTTGTAGTCGGAGCATGCACCATCTGCATCGACCTTGATGCTCCGATCTGCAAGAAAGCCGGCGATCCAATCGCACAATTTCTCGGGAAGCCCATAGGAAGGGAGCTTCGAAAGAAGCGCTTTGTGCCAAACCCGATCAAAGGCCTTCCCAATGTCCAAACTAACGGCCAACGCCTCCCCCTTGGACTCTACTGCCTACCAGAGAAGATCACCAGCTGATCGACCCCGACGAAAACCGTATTGGCGGTCACTAATCAGCTGGTGATCCTCAAGGTACCGCATGAGCTGGCAGTTAATAATTGATTCCATTATTTTGGAGAACAAGGAGATGATCGCGTTAAGCCTATAATTGGACGGGTCTGAGCGGTCGCCTTTTTTAGGGATCGGGTGGACAAAAGCTGTCTTCCATGAATTCGGGACTACGCCTTGGGAGTAGGAGTACCGGAAAAGACGCGTTAGGACCGGTGCCAACTCCGGAGCACACGTCTTCAGCACAATTGGGGGGATTCCGTCAGGCCCACTCTGAGACTTCTGGATGTCCAGGGAGAGGAGCGCTTTGCGAACCGAGCGCTGTGAGAATAGTACATCCGGCATGGAGCACTCACACCGCGGGATGGTCGGCGGTGTTTTCCCCCCGTCATCAAGAGTCGAGTTGGACGCAAAAAGGGAGCCTAAAAGGTCGGCTTTGTCTTTTGCGTCTTGGGCCGGTGAGTCGTCCTCCCTGTGCAGAGATGGTAGTGATGGCTTACAGAAATTCCCTTGGACAGCCTTGGCGAGAGACCAGAATGCACGGGTTCCCGAAGGAAGGCGAACTAGTTTCTCGTCAATTCTGCCTATGTGCTCTGACTTTGCCTTGGCAATAACTCTTTTGAAGGACCTGGAGGCGAAGTTATACTTCTTTTTAAGTATGCTGGTGTTTACATCCCGAGTCGCCGAAGCCGCAGCCCAGGCTTGACAACACTCCTGCTTACTGCGTAATGCAGTCTTACAGGAGCGACCAAACCGAGGCTGAGATCTGCCTCCGATGGGTACCACAGATGATGGAATAAATAGTTCCATTCCCTGTAGCACCACATCAGTGACAGAGTCAGCAACAGCGCTGGGATCATCCGGCGAGAAGCAAACCCGCCCCCAAGGATAGGATGCAAAGAAAGACCGCATTCCGTCCCAATCCGCCGACGTGTAATGCCAAACACGGTGGCAAGCTGCAGAACGCAACCGCGAGGGGATCGTGAGTGGCAGTGCCACTCACGATCCCCTCACGATCCCACGGTCTGATCCGGAGTGTGGTGCCACTGTGGCACCACACTCCGGATCAGACAATGGTCCGAAGAGCCGAGATCGACGGAAACCTGATATCCGTCCGGATGAGAGGTCAGCAGAAGGTCCAACAGGGAAGGTGTATGATCCTCCACATCTGGAATCCGCGTAGGCGAAGTAACCAGTTGTGTCAGACCATATGCCAAAGCAAAGTCATAAACAGATCTCCCCGCATGATCGGTTAAACGTGAACCGAGCCATTCGGCGTGGTGGGCGTTAAAATCGCCAAGGATCACGATCTCTGCGGATGGGACCTGTTGTAGCAAAGAATCTGTAGCCATTTGGACGTGGTCAATGAGCCGGTCTGTTTCGGCATTACCGCTACGGGACCCGTAGATAGAGGCACCCGTAGACGCGCGGATGGTCGTCGCTGTCTACGCGTAGCCATAGGATGGACAGGTCCGAACCTTCAAGACTGCCGAGGCGTCGAGAACAAATGTCCTCTCTGACATACACGCAAACTCCAGCCCGAGGCACAAAGGAGTGCTCCAATTTGTACTCCGGGCAGGAGAGATACGAAATATCAGCCGGAGAGGAAACCTGCGTCTCGGTCAGAAAGAGCAATCGCCGTCTCGAGATGGTAGTGGACGGCGTTTAGGTTCGAGTGAAGTCCTCTGATGTTGCAGAAATTCACGGAAAGCGTGGCAGGGGTCGCCTTGGTCTTGTTGCTCAGTTTGCCCCGAGCAGTTATGTTTTTGTGGAATAACATGGTCGTGGATGCTCAGCGAGGGATTCTCCAGGGGTGCTGGTACCCTCCTGGGGTAGCCTAAAGTGTAATTCCGCTACCATGTTGAGAGGGGGGGGGGGGGGTAATTGGGCCTCCGGCCACCTGCACTCACCAGACGAAACGCAGAAGCAGAGCTTCTACTTCACGCCGGTATTCTGTGAGGGCGTGGTACCAACTCGGCTCGAGCCGGCCCATACGTGCAACAGCAAAAACTGCTGCGTGGCTCTACCACCGTTTTGACAGACTTCACACATCATTGAAAGATCTTGTTTCTCAGACATACAGGTTTCCTTACGATGTTCAGAACTTAAAAGCTATTATATGTACGGTGCGGTATCAAAATGTGACCTTATTGAAAGTAATATAATTCGGGTGCTCGCAGTAGTCTTACCAAGTAGCTTTACTGGTATTTTCTTTCCCAGTAGCTTACCAGTTAGGTCCACTTGGTAAGAAAATTTCCAGTAATCTCACTTGTAGGACTATTTGGTAAGACTATTGGGAATGCACGACGCCATGAAGGTAGGTTAGTTAAAGAAGAATGAAGGTAGGTAAGTTAAAGAATAAAAAGAATGAAGGTAGTAGTAGTGAAATATTGGGAAGAAAATTTCTTAGTAGTCTTACCAGTAAGACTAATCAGTATAAGTCTGTATAATAATTCAGTGCTAAGAGACAGTGTAAATGTATCGAAAAAATAAAGCCCTGACTACTAGGCAGAAGCTATTTCTTTTATAACGTGCAAATTATTTTATAATTTTTAATGTCGGTTTTTAATTTTTTTAATCTATTTTTAAACTTTTTGAGTGAACTAATTAATATCACGAGTTCAAGGTAACAACTAGAATGCCGTCTTATGAAACTACGAGCATTTCCCTCTCCATAGCTGGTTGAGCGACGTTAAGCTTCCGCGTACGGCCAGCAGTGAAGAACCACGTATGTATCCTCCCATCATCACTGGCAACACGCACCGATTGTACTCTTGCTTTCAAGTTTTGAAGCATATGTGACGATAAGATGTGTCGCGTAGTCTCCCGAACGCTGGCCAGCCACTTTAGATCCATCGACAGACTTCTGGGTTGAAGTCGGAATAACCTAGTTCTAGAAGACCAATTGCCTGATCCTAGGTAAACATACTCGTCAACAAACCTGTGCTCCAAACCTCCAAACTACTACCGGCATACAGCTCGAAAACTGACAACCGATAGGTCATGTCTCTGCCATCCCTACTAAAACTTACTACGTTCGTGTATTAAACGTAGGTATAAATGTTACACATTTTAAATATAAATCTTCTTTCTAATTTATTTTCAATATGAAGCAGCTCAACGGAGTCATTTTTATTTTACATAATGAAATAATACAATATGCAATGAATTTTATTTCTTCCCTTGTTTACAGGACTAATGTGACAAGCGAACCTACAGACCACTTGATGGCAAGACGCTACCGCAATCCATGCCAACACTTTGCACACTACTCTCCACACCTTTAGCCAACCTCATGCAAAGACGGCTACAATTGCGTTGTTACCTTT